ATGAAAGAGCAGGAAATACCTCCAAAGAACCTCCAAAATTAGAGAAGTCCTTTTCGTTAGTCGCTTACGAACCAGGGCTGGGAAAATTACGTGTTTGGACATGTCTACAGCAACTGTTGGCTTTGTGCCATCAACCGACACGGCCACAAAAAGTCAGCAATGAAAACTGATTTTTCTAGTTTCCCTATTTTTTTCTATTTTTCTGTGCTTTTTTTGTTTGCTTCCTATCTTGAAATTTTTTCTTCTCACTAGAATGATGACAACGTTCTCGAAAATGGTCGTAACATAGGATCTTTGTTGATTTTCGCAGCTGAGATCCGCTGAATTAGTCCTTTGAACAGCACTTAGGATAGTGCGGCTCAATGGCTTGGGGCGGCGCCAATGCTCCAACCTAGGCTTCCTAGCGCCTAAACCTTATCAAAACGCCCCGCCACTTCTGCACATGATCTGCCCTTGCGTACTGCTGCATATTTGACGGGGAAAACCTGAATTTCGCCAGAAATCCCGGAATTTGCCTTTAAGGTAGGCGGCGCGAAAAGCCCTAAAAAAGTGGAGAGGCCTAATGAGGGCATATTTGAAACCATGGTACAGCAGAAGATACCCTGGTCAGATTAAAGTGGCGATGACTGACAAAGACGGCCGACCCTGTGACTACGAGGAAGTTACGCAGGGAGAGAAGACTGTAAGTAGCACACTCACTTGTATATCTCAATGTCTCCCCTCTCCCCAACGACCTGAGCGCTAAGAATCAGATTTTGAAAAAGCTTGGCACACCCGAACTGACCATAAGGCATCAAGTGTTTTCAAAGGAAATGATCATATGCGCTGTCGAATACGATCACGTTGGCTTCGAAGTGGAACTGTATACTATGCGTTATCAAGAAAGACTCGGGGTGTCCCCCAAGAGGCCCGTCGCGCGGCGAAGGAAGAGACGCAGATGCGGCAAAGGACGAGTCGCAGCGCGTGCTGTGCGATATGAGACGTAGTATGGTACACTATTTAACCTGACGCCTAACCGCTACAGTATGCGCTGCGACTCGTCCTTTGCCGCGTCTGCGTCTCTTCCTTCGCCGCGCGATGGGCCTCTTGGGGACACCCAAGGACTAGAGATAAGAGCTGATGTGATTTGAACCCCGTGAATATGGAGCTGCCGATCCGTCCGACAAATAGTAATAGGTAGTGCCGGAGGTGGGTTCCGGCGCCTTATCACGCGATTCATGAAGCGACCCTGCCCCTGAAGTATAACTATCACGACGGTGATCATTGATTGAGATTTGACCTCCCCTGATCGCGCGGGAAGTTTAGTACATAAGCCAGTGACTTGCCTTTGAAGTGTTCATTCATCTCATCGACGCTCGCGGATCGCGCATTACAAGGATAGAGCATTCATTAATTCATTCATCTACGCGCTTTTATTTGTTGTATTCTCTCATCCATTCGTTATCGTTTATTCATCC